AAACAATTAGTCCTCATGACCAGCACACCATGCAATCCTCAGCCTATATGACTATGAGACCAGAAGAACTAGATGGTGCCTGGCTACCACTGTCAACCACCTGGAGGGGAATCTATGTAGGAGATCCTGGATAGAGAGGGAGAACAATGTGGAACAAAACTCAAAATTATTTGGAAAAAAGGAGACCAGGTTTGCTGGTCTGATAGAGCCTGGGTCAATGATTTTCCATTACACCTAGGATCAATTCCAAACTACCGACCAGGCCTTCCATGCCCTGGTCCCTGTCTAGCTCTCTGGCTACAGTCCTGTGCTGCTCACTACACAATAGCTACAACTTCTATCAGTCCTCTTAATGTAACCAAGTTCTCGACTGACTTTGCAAATGCTATTGCTGGAATGGTCCTTTCTCTATTCTTCCCAAAGCTAGTTCATTCTCATCAGTCCAATTAAAAGTCATCTTCTTACAAAGCCTTTTCTGGATCTACCACAGTACCTTTAGTGGCCATCAACTTGGCCCCAATTCAAGGCAACTCTATGTACAATGGGATCAGACTATTGTGAAACCACAGGGTTCCACTGGCTGATTTTCCAAAGTAGATCGCCAGGCCTTCCTTCCGAGTCTGTCTTAGTCGGGAAGCTTTGTCGAAAGCTGTTCACCATCACAGCAATACGAAAGCTTCCACTGACAGTGGTGGCTGGGCTTGAGATGTACTGGCTGGGAATCAAACTAGGGTCCCTCACATGGAAGGAGAAAACTTAACAATGAATCACCACTGTGCTCACACCTGATATAGTCAGCACTGCACTTAACAAATATTTGCTGAAAGTTTATTGAATGAATAAACTGTTATCCCATCTATGGATCAGCACCTAAAGTAATATTCCCATTTATGTCAAGTTACTGAAAAATACATACAAGGCTTTAAATTTTAACAAATCATCTGTAATCAAGTACACAGTTACACATACTTACAAAATTAACTAAAATAAAGTTCACAAAATCATATTTACCTTTGTCGTAAGATACTGTCATTGTTTTTAATGTGATTTTTCCAAACTACTAAATAGTGAAAAGACAATGATGTAAACTACTCCAAGCAAGGTTTTGGTTTTTCATTCAAGGGTTCAATTAAACCAAGAGCACTGACTTAAATAGTACAAAATAAATTTATTAAGGGAAAGATAATGCAATTACATTACCAGTTCTAAATTATCACATTCAAACTCTAAGACTATAACCATATTCACTGATCAAAAAACAGCAAATTATGGATGCAGGGTATTCAGATTAGGAACCTTTAATAAGGAGGGGCCCCAACAGGAGGGTGATTTCATATTGAATGACAGGGATGAAAACTAGTGTAAATAAATCTTCCCCCATCTCATCTAATTGATTTAATGCAGAGGGTCAGTGAAAAAGGGAAAGACCTTCAACAAGGGAAGACTGACACGGTGACTAGAACCATGGGCTCATGCATGGCAACGACTGTAAGGATGTCGCATGACTTGGTAGTGTTTCTTTCTGTTGTACGAGGGTCACTATGAATCAGAATTGACTGGAGGGCTCTCAACAACCACATTGCATCTAAAAGCAGCCCTATTCTTCCTGACTCACAGGCCACAAATCTTAGTGTGATCCCTGACTCCTTTTTTTTTTTTTTTCACTTCCTAAATCCAGTAAATCATTAAATCAATCCTATCAGATCTACCATCACAACACATCTAGAGTCTGACACTTCTCGCACCCCTCATTGCAACTATCCTAGTCTAAGCCACAATCATTTCTTGTCTGAGTTACTATATAGCCTTCTATCTGGTCTCCTTCATTCTGCCCTTGCCCTCCAACAGTCTCTTCTCAACACTGAAATCAGAGTGAATCTATTAAACCATTAAGTCACAGTATGTCACCCATCTGCCTAAGTTTCCCATCTCAGGGCAAAAGTCAAAGGATTCCTAAAGCCTGCAAAGCCCTACATGAGCTGCCCTTTCCAAATTATGCTAACCTCACCTACTCACGGTTCCTCAAATACACCAGACATGCTCCTGCCTCAAATGGGAGCTTACTCCCTTTTGCCAGGGATGCTCTTCTCCAAATATCCACATGTCTAGATCCCTTAACTTCCTTCCAATCTTTATTCTAGTCAACTTCTTAATAAGGCAATCCTACCTAAAATATCAGCCCCTCACTGCTATCCTCCCAACTTCCACACATATTCCACTCCTCTTTCCTTTGTTCTCCTTACCACTTACCGCTACCTGACATAGTATATATTTTAGGTATTTACTTTGCTTATTGTCCACCTCCCTAGAATGTAATATCCATGAGAACATAAACGTTCAACTATTCACTGCTGTATCCCCAGCACCTAGAACAGTATCTGGCAATTCAAAGACTCATTCTTATTTGAATGAATAGCTGGGTAGATCAATGAATGGATGAATGAAGGGCCTGGCATGAGCCAACACAAACAGAGACAAGAGAATAGATAGGTAAAACCAAAAAACCCAACTCACTGCCATTGAGCCAGATCCAACTCATAGCGACCCCTCCTTGGGTTTCCAAGGCAGTATCACTACAGAAGTAGATTGTCCAACCTTCCTTCCAGAAGAGTGGCGGGTGGGTTTGAACCACCAGCCTTCTGGTTAGGAGTCAAATGCCTTAGGCATTACGCCACCAGGCTCCTGAACAGATAGGTAAGCATGGATGATTACAGGTAAAGATCTGTAGTTCAAGCTTCAAGGACAGCCTTGACACACCTGTGATGTCTCTGGCCCCATCAGAATATGGTGAAATGTGTCAGCAACCACTAGTTGAGACTGAATTAACGCTCTCTACAACACTGAGTAGGAGCTCTGGTAGCATAGTGGCTAAGTCACTTGTCTGCTAACCAGACAGCTGGCGGTTCAAACCCACCAGCCACTCCTCGGAAGGAAGGTTGGGCAATCCTACTTCCGTAGTGATACTGCCTCGGAAACCCAAGGAGGGGTCGCTATGGGTCGGGGCCGACTCGACGGCACATAACAACAACAACAACAACAACACTGAGTATTGCTTCCCATTATCTATTCTCAATCAAGAAAGAAGAAATGTAGAGGAAATTAAACAACAAATAAAAAACATGACTGCCTACTCATTATGAACTATGCTTTAAAATCCTGTAATACATAATTGAAACTTATCAGGCAAACACCAGAAAATACAGCTTAATTTTGAAATAATGCAAGGTAGACAAGAGAAATCAAGGAATTTATCTAAAGCAGACTCTGCCACTAATCATAAATGTGTGACCAGAATCTCTCTGAACCTGATTCTTGTAAACTCAAATTAAGGGTCACTGCTATTCAAGTCAGGAGCTCTGGTGGTGTAGTGCCTAAGGCATTTGACTGCTAACCAGAAGGCTGGCAGTTCAAACCCACCAGCCAGCTACCCCTTGGAAGGAAGGTCAGGCAATCCACTTCCGTAGTGATACCTCCTCAGAAATCCAAGGAGGGATCTCTATGAATTGGATCCAACTCCATGGCAGTGTGTTGTGCTGTTGCTATCCAAGTCACTTCCACCTAATTGTTTTGAGAATGCAACGAAATAGTGAGAAAGAAAAGGATAAAAGACCATACGACATACAAATGTAAAAAGTTACTAAGTTCTAAGATATTAATTTGTCAGCCACTAGGAAGATTTATTAGTCTTTTTTTTTCTTTCAAACTTTAAGTTTTAGAAGTTTTTACAGTATTATGAGTCAAAATGTAAAGATTTCTCTTCTCCAAATTAATTTCTTTAAAAACATTTTATTAGTCTATTTTCTCCAGAGAAAATATTAATAGAAATGAACTGTTTCTCAGTTACAGTAAGGTCATATTATATAGGCGCAACCAAGGAATTAACAACCAAAAAAACCAGTTGCTATCAAGTCAATTCCAACTCCTGCAACCCCACGTGTGTCAGAGTAGAACTGCACTCCACAGGGTTTTCAATGGCTAATTTATTTTAAGTAGATTACCAGGCCTTTCTTCCAAGGTGCCTCTGGGGGAACTTGAACCTACAACCTTTAGGTTAGCAGCTGAGATCACAAATCATTTGCTCCACTCAGGATCTCCAAGGAATTAACTACAGGGTTATCGATATATTACTTAAAATTAAATGGTCCAATGAATTATAAACATGAAGTATGTGGAAATGGGAAATGTTTTGTTACATATACATTTACCATAAGTAAAAAAAAGAAATGATTCACCAAAGATAGAGATATAAATAAACCCAAAGCCTGAAACTTATCTTACTTGGTAGTATTCCAGTGATCGTTTGGAGGTGAGAGAAATCGTTGCAAAGAGGCAACTTCTTAGGGTGATGGAAATGCTCTAATTCTTGAGGTATAGATTACATGGGTGAATACGTTTGTCAAAACTCATCGAACTGTACATTTTAAATAGATTCCTGAAACAAAAATTTCAGTTGCACCATGCCCTTAAGGAGAACTTATGTAATGAAATCTAAAATATCTGCCTTCAAGAGTTAAGCAAGCTGCTGACAAAACCTGAGTTAACGGCACAAAGATCGCCTCACGACCTTCTGGCCTCCAGGGTAACTCACATTAAAAGGAGAAAAGCTTTTTCTCAAGAAAATGAAAGGCAAAAATGGTATTACTTCAGATTTAGGTTCGAATGCCTGCTCTAAACCGTTAAATGTCTTTGTGACCTTGAGAGTCCTCAACTTCTCCGAGCCTCGGTTTCCCTTTCTGTAAAATGGGGATAATGATGGCTTAGAGGTTAGCCTGACGCACAGTAAGCGCTCAATACATGATTGTTACTATTAACTAAAGCCCTAGAATTCAGTGCCGGCTGGAAAAGCCCTAGTTTCCCTGAGAGCTGTGGTCCCTTTTGTACGCCTCATCCCCTTCGGCCAAGCCTCATTCCCCTCATACACACAACCCTCACAGTCTCTGCAGGCTCGACGACCCCTTATCCCAGTAGCCCCCAGAGGCTGCCCACCTCCCAGACCCCACCTCTTCGAGGAAGCGGGTGACATCGTAGACTCGCCCGTGGATCACCAGCCATATTTCCTTCGAGGAACTGCGCTTCGCTACCTCCTCCAACCGGTAATAAGTGACGGAGGTCTCGACCCCCTGCCCTTTCCCGTCACTGCTGCTAGCTTCCACAGTAGCCATTGGCAGAAATATCTCCCCCTCACCGCTGCCGTGATTTCAGCAGCTAACTTCCTTGGGGCAAAGCCCGCGCTCAGCCCTACCGAGCTTCCGTAACCAGGGCCCATAAGCACTTCGGGGGGGAATCCTAGCAACAGCCAATCAGGCCACGGAATACTTCCTGGTTCGTTTTGTCTTCACCAATAAAACGAGATTTCCAGTTCTCAAACAAGCCCACTCCTCGCCCGATCCTCGGGGCGTAGGCCTGGTTCGACGTCCAACTAACCAATCAGTGTTGTCCAGCTGCTCCAAAACTTTACCAATCAGATACTGTGATTTTGGAAAGGCACCTAACGAAGAGTTTTTTTTGACAAGTGTCATCTCAAAAGAAGTTCTTCGCTCGGTGTACCGAACTGCAGGGTTCTGAGATAGGGGACCGCTTCCCTTTCCTTGCCGCTTCCCTTTGTATCACCATGGACTCCTGTCCAGTCACGCAAAGTCACGTTTCCTTCACCACCTGCCTAGCCATTATTCCAGCCATGGGTTTACATCCCTGCTCTGTCGCCTCCATACTGTAATCTGGCGAATCCATCTCTCTAAAGACTATTTCCTCATCAGTAAAATGGGCATGCTAACCTCTCTGCCTTACAAAATGATTTAGATGATTAAATGAGAATGTACCTGTAAAGCACATGTAGTAATTGCTACCTAATGAGCCAGTATTAGAAAAGGTCTTAATTTCAGGTAGGTAACAGTCCCTGAGGACAGCTATTAGGGGTATGGAGCATCCCAAGTATCTACTATTACTGAGAATCGGACTTTTAAATTATTTTGTGACCAGGGGGGAGATGTATCACTATAAATGTATACACACTAGTTTCTACCAGGTCTAAAGCAGAATTCACTTCCGCTGTTCCCCTCCCCCATTAGAGCTCCCACCATTTTGGAATTCCAGGTTTAGTTAATGTGCAGTGTTCTGGGCTACTTATTTTAAACTGCCAGAACAGCTGACATATTGGTCATGGAAGAATGTCATGTTCACCATGCCACCATTCAGGGCTCCACAATCCAACCCCGATTTCTTGCACTAATATTTTCCACCATTCCTTTTTATAAGCTTACCAGCCACTGACTCCTAAACCTTCTGGGCTTAAAACCACATCAAGGATCATTCAACCACTTGGGTTCAAGCACCTTCCCATTCCTATTCATATTTCAAGCCCTTGCTCAATTCTTCCTGTTTCACGAATTATTCTCCTACAGCTCCAGTGGTTCCATCCTCTTATAGCACCTAAGCATATACTATTTCAGAAAATCTTCTATTTCTGTAAATTTTAACTTTTCATATTTTATTTCCCTAATTGGACTGAAACTATGAGGGCAACTCCATATATCCAATAGGATGCTTAGGATCTTTCACAATGTCTAGATTAGATTATGTACATTCATTTTGGAAATATTTACTAAATAGTGATTAGATTATTTACATTCATTTTGGGGAATTTACTAAATATTTAGCATGTGACAAGCACCGTGATAGGCTTTGAGGATAGAAAAGTAACAGAAGAAACCACAGAGAAAATTGTCAAAGATTTGTTGGAAGAGAATTTCCCTGATATGATGAAAGACAAGAATACATTCATTTGAGAAGTCCAACAAACCCCAAAAAGGATAGACCCTGAAAGAAAATCACCAGGACATACCATCATCAAACTTGCCAAAACCAAAGACAAAGAAAGAATCGTGAAAGCAGCATGGAAAAAAACAAAAAGTTACCCACAAAGGCCAACCAATAAGACTAAGCTCAGATTTCTCAGCAGAAACCATACAGATTAAAAGGCAGTGGGAAGGTGTATACAAAACCCTGAAAGAAAAAAAATTTCCAACCAAGAATTATATACCCAGTGAAATTGTCCCTCAAATATAATGGTGAAATTAGGTCATTTCCAGATAAACACAGATTAAGGGAATTTGTTAAAACCAGACCAATCTTACAACTCCCTTTAGGGAGTCCTTTGGACAGAGAACAAAAACAGCAAATAATAAATGACCATTAACACACATGATGATATAACCAAGAAACCAACCCAGTTACGGAAGTATCCAAAGAAAATTTAAGCCTACGAGATTTTAAACAGGGAACTGTTGTTGTTGTTGTTGTTAATATGCCTATGCGTCGAGTCAGACCCGACTCATAGCAACCCCTCCTTGGGTTTCCAACAGTATCACTATGAGGCAGTATCACTACGGAAGTAGGACTGCCCAACCTTTCTTCCAAGGAGTGCTGGTGGGTTTGAACCACCAGCCTTCTGGTGAGCAGTCAAGGGCCTTAGGCACTATGCTACCAGAGCTCCTGGCGGTATCACTGTGGAAGTAGATTGCCCAACCTTCCTTCTGAGGAGTTGCTGGTGGGTTTGAACCACTAGCCTTCTGGTTAGCAGTCAACTGCCTTAAGCACTATGCTACCAGAGCTCCTAAACATGGAACTAGAGACATAAATTGACAAATGAGGACAACTACAAACCAAAAAGAGAGAAAAAATAGTGTAGTTACAGAACTTCTAAATGGTGAGGAAGTCAAGACAATGGCAAGATAGAATGGACAATATAAACCACAGGGTAACCTCGAAGAAAAATGATAAATCTTCACATCAAAATAAAAAGGAGGACAAGCACAAATATTTAGCAAATACGAAAACAATAGCAATGAAGGAAATGATAACATGAGTCATAAACAAAGTGAGCTCAGCAAAGAAAATTATACAGAACAAAGAAATCAGGAACACTACAAAAAAAACACATAACAAAATGACAACAACAAATTCATACCTGTCAATAATTACACTGAATGTCAATGGATTAGGAGCTCTGGTGACATAGTGCCTAAGGCTGCTCAATCCAGACTGCAAACCAGAAGGCTGACAGTTCAAACCCACCAGCCTCTCCTCAGAAGGAAGGTTGGGCAATCTACTTCCATCGTGATACCACCTCAGAAACCCAAGGAGGGGTCACTGTGAGTCAGGTCCGATGTGACAGCAGGCTGTTTTTTGGGGCATCAATGGATTAAATGCATCACTCAACTGAAGGAGAATTAAATATTGGATAAGAAAACATAACCCATCAATATGCTGTTTACAAGAGACATACCTTAGAGGCAAAGAGAGTACAGCAAAAGTAAAAGTGGGCATACCCTTAGTGGTAGGAGAGAGATCTGAGACTGGGAAGGAGAGAGTGGTTGGGATTCTCCAGTAGCAGGAACCTCACAAGTTTCCTCAAAGGGACCTGGGAAGGTGACAGGATCTTCAGGGAAGCAGGGCTGCATGGTGCATGCTGGGAGATTGGACCCTAGGTGCCATGGCTCTCAGTTAGCAAACATATTTGAGTCCCAGTGTGTCTGCTGTCAAAACGTCAATGGTTTGAACCCACCATCCACTCTGTGGAAGAAAGATGGAGCAGCCTGCTTCAGTTTACAGCCGTGGAAACCCAATGGGGTCGCTATGAGTCAGAACAGACTCAATGGCAATGAGTTTGGTTTTTGGTTTGAGTGTCTGCTGTTAACTCTGCAACAGATCTCATGGGCAGTGACCAATGTGAACTGAAGGCCATAGGACCCTTCTGGACTGTGTGACACTATGTAAAACCCCAGGGAGCAGGAAAGGAACACCTTCATAAATCACTGCAACTGAATTTGTTACCATCTTGGCAAGTGGATGGGAAGGATCAGATTAAGGTGGGCTTTTAAAAATTGTTAAATGTTTTTGTTTTTTTTTTAAATTTCAAACAGGTAAATTGCAAGATAATACAAAGATACATTTTTTACATGGATTTACCAATTGTTAATATTTTTCCATATTTGATTTCTCCCATATATATTGTTATTATCGCTAAACCATTTTAGAATAAGTTGCAGATGTGATAACCATTTAATTAAGTATGTTTCTACATGTATCTTTTAAGAATAAAAATGTAATCTTACATACAAAAAAAAAAAAAAACCTCACTGCTGTTGAGTGGAATCCGACTCATGGGGACCCCTCCTCCTTGGGTTTCTGAGGCCGTATCTCTACAGAAGTAGATTCCCCAGTCTTCCTCCCATGAGCACATCCGAGAACAGGCCAGCGCGTACCTGGAGTGAGGGGTCACCTCACGGTGCCCTCAGGGGCGGTATCGACAGGCTCAGAACAGTGTGCTAGACAATAGTGTTTTGTTTTTTTTTTAAATCAATATTAAATACCATAAATTTGAAAATTATACTGGGGTTATACTTACCCCAGTATAATTTTCAAATTCAAGCCATTTAACATTGATTTTTAAAGAACTACTATGTAGTACACTGTCCACATTATTTTCCAATTATTGAAATAATATCCTTTGCAGAAATTTTGTGTGCTGTGTGATCCAGGGAGTTCTGGTGTTGCAATGGTTAAGGCATTTGGTTGCTAACCCACCACCTTCTCCACAGAAGAAAGATGATGCAGTCTCCTTCAGTAAAGATTTACAGACTTGGAAACCCTATGGGGTAGTTACACTCTGCCCTACAGGGTTGCTATGAGTTGGAATTGAATGGATGGCAGTGGGTGGGTGGTGGTGGTGGTGGATGTGTGATCACGATCCCATTCAGGATCACATGTTACATTTATTTAGACCTCTTTAGATTCAATAATCAGCAACATTTCCACAGTTGTTTCCTTCATGACACTGACATTTTTTAAGAGTACAGCCTCAAATTGATTTATTTTTTCTCACAATGAATTAGATTTTTAAAAATATTGTGGCTTGAATGTGTTGGTTATAAATTCATACACACAATCTACAGGACATGTTAGCCAGAACATCTGGCTTGAAATCCATCCCTACCACTCACAAACTCTTTGACCTTCCTCAGGTTTCTCAATCTCTGTTTTCCATATAGATATCCAGTTGTTCCAGCACCATCTGATGAAAACACTTCCCACTGCATTGTTTCTCTTGACTATGTTGGGCATTCCTACTTCCATAGTGATACTGCCTCGGAAACCCAAGGAG